CAGCCAAGCCTGGCATTACAGCCCGTTGATGAGCATGCAATAATGGTAAACATTTCTGAAGTGGCTGGGGGAACTGGAATGGAGGTTTAGGAGTGCTCTGAGGGTTAGGGATAGGAAGAGTAAGGGACAATAGGATGCACAGAATGCAACTGGCATGTCAGGGGGACCTTCACACTGCTTTGGTATCCAGATGGTGCTGCTTCATCTACCTCTTCTCTCTCAGCAGCAGCTCTTCCTCCCATGTCCTCAATTTCTCATATATCTATCAGATGTTAATGGATCATTGTAGCATCTTGCACAGGATTTTTTATCTCTCAGGCTTTCACCATGACCAGTTTACAAGGTGAGAGCTATTGGATCTGACTGCAGGGGTTAGCATCAAGTAGTACTCATTAGAGGCAAAGTTGGTTACACACAGAATTCAGCTCTCACAGATACTGTAATATTTCCCCCCTCTTTTAGAGATGGGATGCATCAACACCAGCTCTGTTGATAATTTTTTATATTCTTGTAAGACTGCTAGACACAATGTCCCTTGCAGACCATACAGCTAAATACTAAATACTAACATTTCTTAGCTTTGTGCATGTCAGCTTGCACTGACTTGTGCCTGTAACAATGCACTAGGGTTGAGTCTTGTTAAAAGTTTTTAGATAACCATTAACAAAAGAAACATCTGCAAGCAGGAATTAGGTAGACTACCCTCAGTTTCCATCTTTGGTATGGACTGCACACGTTCCTCTGTCTGGAGTAGAGGAAGAGGAATTGGGCAGCTGTTTCAAGGTACGTGCTAGAGATACACCCAGGACACGACTCAAAGCATTTATGAGATGGGTTCATGTCCATATTTACATTTCGGAGGAAATAATGCTTTTTAAAGGAGCTGTGTGTGCATCCCAAGGATAGTAAATCATATGGATAAACAGAAATCAGAAACAGAGCTGGCTGAAAGCCATAAGAAAGAAGCGGGGCTGACCACAGACTTGATGCCACACCGTAGATACGATAGATTGATTCAAGCGGGGCTGACCACAGACTTGATGCCACACCACGGATACAATAGATTGATCCCTTTGGATCACATATCCCACACACGTCTTTTCATTATTTCTAATAACAAAATGAAAATAAATTTGGTTTATTCCTAAAGTCTAAATAAATGCCACTGATTACTAGTTTGGAAAGTCAGGACTACACCTTGCAGTTCCTTTTCTCTAGAGGAAGAAAGTAATAAATCAAAGCATTCAACTGAGGCCTCCTTTTTCTGTGTTTGCCCTGATGTCCTATTTCACTGTTTGAACCCCCTCATTATTTTCAGTAGTCTGAAAACACTCCCACCTCTTGAGGCAGCACTCCCTTGTTCATCGCCTGTTCAAATAAGTAAGACGCGTAGCCCACATTGTCGCTGTTCACAAGGCGGTTTGTGTTGTTCATGCTGACTGGGTGCACGGCAAACCAGCTGAAGAGGAGTCAGAAGTCACACGTAGGAAATGCATGGTTCAATCTATATGTTGGCAATTCAATCTATGCGTTTGCAATTGACTCATGGGAATTTTCTTTGGGAGGACACAAACGCAGACTGTTGGTGTCTAGGGATGGTTTAGCTCGGGCAGAGTTACTCCTATCCTCTCCCTTCCTGACCAGGAGGGTTCATGGCTATGATGGTCCAGGCCTTCAGGCCACAAGAACTTGGCACTGTAATTATCAGGGCCACCAAGAGCTCTTTCAGGCCTGAAATGACTCTTTTCTGAGTCCAGAGAATTATATTTTGGAGGGATTTTTATTTACTTACTCCAAAGAAACAAAGAGTCATCAACAATGTAAAAAAAGGAGCACTTTCATTCTTACAAAAAAAACCCAAAACCCTTCTCTTCCTCTTAATGCAGTCAGACTCTTGCTTGTGACTTCTAAATGAGGAAAATACAGTTATGGCTTGTCACTTCATTTGCCAGGCCTTGAGCTCTGAACTTCTCGTGGTTGAACACTGCCCCACAGATCTGTACACAGGACAGGCATCATAAATACTGCCTGTGGGAATAGCAAGCTTTCCTTGAAATGTGGGATGTTAAAGAAAATAACCAAGAGGAGAGGAGCCCAAAGGGTCCTGGAGATGCTGGGCTATGCTTGGAAGGGCACAGTGAGAACATAAGAGGGACACTGACCTGGTTTATGCACTGATGGACTCTCACTCTTCCCTCAGAGACCCTCTGGTCACTAACTGGGAGCAATGCACTGTGAGCAAGGGTCAGTGTTGGGAAGGAGAGCTTGTGCAGAAAGACAGGACTGCTACAGAACTGCACTTTATGAGGACCTGGAGAAAAATATGTTCCTTCAGTGGTCAGTACCTGATAAGGCCTAGGTCCTGTCCATTCTCATCTACCATCTTCAGCATCACCATTTCTTTATCTGTGTTGGATGAATACCTGGATGAAAATGAAGCAGGGAAATTCCATTAGTGTCAGAGCCATGGTCATTCCCTGCATTGCTCAGACATGTTAAAGGTCCACTAGGTTGAGCAAGGAAATGAAGAGGCTATTGTAGATATTACCAGAGTACAGTTAGGCCTTAGAGGAGCATCTGAAAATAGCTGTGAAGATACGGGAAGATTGTTGCTGACCTCAGGTGCTGCCCTTCCAAGGAGGAGCTCTCTCCAAATACAAATCCATGCACCAGGGATAGCACTTTAATGCCATCAGACTCAAATGTGAATGCCTACTAAAGGTCACATCCTTGACCAATGCCTCACGTGCTTGGAGTGGGTAACCACAACTTTCAAGGCTATTCTTGCAAATAATTTTTGGGGGTGTGCACACCCAAACACCCAGGATGGAAACAGTGTCATTCTGCCATGGTCTTGGCTCCACATTTTCAACCATCCCATGAATGACCAGAAACATGAGCTGCAAGGTGGCTGGGTCATGATTCCAACAGAAGGGTCCTCTCCAGGGCTCTGTTTCTCTCCCACTTGAGGAGCTTTTACCTGCTTCGTTCAGACGCTGGATTCTCAAGGTAGGAGAAAGGACTTCGATTGATCTGGCTGTTTTCTACAGTGCCTCTGTTTATAAAAAGCCTTCCTCTCTTCATGTTCTGATGTGCTATATCAATGCTCTGAAAAGCAGGAAGGCAGGGAATAGCAGTGCATGCATGTAAGGCATATGTGAGACTAGCTGGAAAAATGCTCTTTCCATTGCTGTCTGCCTCCAACCTTTTCTTGGGAATTTGGGGGCTTTTTATTTTTCTCTTAGTTAGTCTAAAATTCTAGAAAACTATGATAATATTTTGAAACCACCCACAACTATCTCTTTCTACAGAAAATCTTCATAGCTTCTGGTTTTTGATTTGATTTCACTGGTAAGCATAAACCCACCTCCAAGTGTGTTTTAAGACTGAAATATTCAGAGGTGCTACCATGAGCATGACAGCAAGAGCTCCGTTAGTCACAAACATATCTCCCCCCAGCTTTACTGCATTTATGGACTCTCATGTCAACAGACTGGATGACACCAACCTTTACAATGCCATTCACGATAGCATTGAGGGACGGTCTGATTAGCCCTTTGCTAGTGATCCAGAAGAGAGTGTACTGGAAGTAGCCTCCAGGCCCCGAGTGTGTGTGGGTGCCGCTGAGGATGACATTGTCCTGCCGGTACAGGCCACCGTACTTGCTTTCCAGTTTCTTCAGTACCTAAGAGGAAGGAAGTGGTCCTAAAAAACCCTTTTTCATCCCCAAAGGCTGCGGAGATTTGTATTAGTCCTTTCAAGAAAAAGCCCCAATCATTCATCTTCCTCCTTGTGGTTCTCTTTCTGCCTGATATTCCCATGCTGATGTCATAACAAGTAGGTTATAGCTGTTGATTTGGCAAGAACCTTAAAATAATAAAATCTCGTAAGTGAAAACCTCTATGGCCAACTTGCACTGAAGCCCAGATCATTCAAGGGGCCCCAAGTTCTCC